CGCGGTCTTTGTTTACTTCCTGTTTGTGTGTCTGGTGGAAACAGCCGCAGCGGTTTGAGCGTCACCTGAACGAAGTGGCTGGGCGTCTCGCTGCAGATGGAGTTGATCTGACCGTTGACGATGGGGATGATCTTGGCCAGCGGCAGACTCACCACAGACAGGCTGAAAACACAAACACCTTCTGAAAAGTCCGTTTGGACCCAAACCACCCGAGTTCGTCCCATAAGATCGGATAAAACTTGAACTATTTACTGAATAAACAGTAAAACGTTTAGTTCGATCACAGCCGTCACTGTGAGGAAAAACACTAACGGAACCAAAATGGAGGACTGAAGGCTTCAGGAGACACAGAAGCAGAGGAAGCTCCGTGTGAAACAGATCCGGTCTGCAGGAGCTGCTCGAGTCTCAAACGTGACGAAACAGTAAAATGTTTGGAAAACAATTAGGATTAAACTTGGTGATGAGGAAAGTTTGTGTTTTATTGAGGAGTGCCTGAAGGCAGCACCCTGTTATTATCCACCTGACAAGGGTCGTGCTCTTCCTTCAACTTTAATGTGACCCGAACCACAACGTGCCCCCTCACAGATGTTATTTCAAAACGACCGGCTCGGCGCCGTGATGCGTGCTGTTACGTTTACTGCCGTTTTGAGTTACCATGGTGACGTCATTTTCACACAAAGACGCCATTTTTCTCATTGAAAAACACAAACAGAACTCTTTAACGGCCACAATGAGGTCACATGACCTGGAGGGAAGAGGTCTCTGAATAAACTGATTAACTTTTGGAGCCATTTTGGTTCAAGATGGCTGCCACAGCTATCTCAGAAAACTTCAACTTGACTATAGTTCAGTCATTCTCAGAAACAGTCCAACAGGTGTTTTCTTGAAAACACTCGGAATAACATGAAGAAAACTCAGAAACAGAATGAGCCTCGGTAAAAGTTCAAACATTATCTGTGTTAACAAACGTTGAATTAATTGATCTTATCCAGTTTTCACTGATGCAGATGGACTATTCTTGACGTGCAGGTGAGTCCACCAACATGGTACCTGTCAGGTGCAGAGCTGGGGGCGGAGTCTCCAGGAGGCGAGCGGAAGAAGTCGGCCAGATTGTCGAGGAGCCGAGAGAAGCCTCGGTTCAGACAGACGTTCAGAACTTTGCTGAAGTCCGGACTGACGTCAGACACAAAGCAGAAAACTCTACGTTAAAAAAGCTGAAACAATACGAGAAACCCAAAGAATAAATCAGGTGTGGACAGGTGAGTTCACCTGTCCAGCATGTCTCTGGTCTCGTTCAGTAATCTGATGGTCATGGCGTCGTTCTCCGTTAATCCACACGCCTGCGCAGGAGAGAGAAACAGAGTTACAGCTCGACTCCTTCCTGCCTGAGCGCAGCTGAACGTCTGACCTGATCACAGAGCGCGTCCTCGTCGTCCGCCAGCAGGTACCGGGACAGAGACCGGTCCGAGTCGGCCTCCACCTCGGCTCTGATCCAGCTCAGCTGCTGCTCCAGCTCCAGCAGAGACAAGTTCTGCATCAGACAAACCCTGGACAGCAGAACACTCATCAGCAGCTACTCTACGGCTGTCGCAGAAGAACAGGCTAAAATTAAAGAAACCAACGTCCCAACGACGACTCTCACCCTCCCAGAGCGTTCTGGACGGCCTTCTTCACGACCGTTATCAACTCCGCTAAACCTGACGAGACAAATGCACAGGTCCCAATCAGAGCTGGACTCTCCTGTGGGTCTGCTGGACATGAATGCTGAGTCAGCATTCCTTAACAGTTGTTAACAATTAAACTTCCACAAACGTGATATTTTAACCAGTCATAAATTTAAGATTTTATCTATTTTTTTGTTAACTGTAGCTTTTAGCTTCAGCTTTGCTAATTGTAGCATTTAGCTATGGTTTTCTTAATTCTAGGGTTTAACTACAATTTGCTGCATTGTGCTTTAAGCAATTGTGTTAATTTCAGCTTGTAGCTATGATTTTGCTAATTTCAGCTTGTAGCTATGATTTTGCTAATTTCAGCTTTTAGCTATGATTTTGCTAATTTCAGCATTTAGCTATGATTTTGCTAATTTCAGCTTTTAGCTATGATTTTGCTCATTTCAGCTTTAATCCACAGTTTTGCCGAACGTTTTGGCTGATTTTAGTTTTGTTACCGTCTCCCAGTAGATGCTGAATGCTGGACAAATACTGCTGCTGGACGTCCGGAGGAGCCTGAGGATTCTGGGTAAAATAAAAACAAACACGTCAGGTGCATCGTTTACTTGTAATCTTTGAAGGTGGTTCTAATCAGATGTTCTTTGGACGTCAGCTGCTTCGGTTGTATTTATATTTATATTGTATTTATTTGGCCGTGGTTTTGCAGATGAATAAGCACGTGTTTGTGGGGAGTCTTGACGGCAGCGTGGCTTCCTCACCGTCGCGCTCTTTCCCACAGAGTTATCCAGATAAAGATATCCTCCGATGATGTTGAGCTGCACTCGGAGAAGAACGACCAGCATGCAGGTGCTGTAGACGGCCACGACGGTGCGGGTGAAGCCTGAAGAAAACGAGGTTCCACGCAGAAATAGACATCTCAGTGACGGAAACCACAACTAAAACGTTTGATATGAACTTCAGAGATCAAAACTTACTGATGATCTTTAAATCCTCCCAGATCTCCAGTTTATTAGCTGGTCTGTCAATCAACACAAAGATTTCTCGTTTACGTTAGGCTTCATGCTAAACTTTAAAAGCAGCTAACAGTGGCCTGGCTGTGCTACAGAATGAGCACGGTAACAGCTGTGTTGAAAAGCACATCTGGAATGTTGTGTTTGGTGCATCTTCTCACTTGGTTTTTAGCAGCGCAGTGAGGCTCTCAGAGTTGAGCTGAGTGGTGATGGCTTCTCTGAGCGCCGGCAGCATCGACAGAACTGAAAAACAGAATAAACAAGCTGCGACTAAACTGTTTCCTTCTTCACCTGCCTCGCCTCACAGTGTCTCGTCCAAACGTCACCAGTGATTTCAGGCGCGCACCGGTCATGTTGCAGGTCCTCTGGTTGCTCTCAAAGTGGAACTGTCGTCTCGCCTGGGCGATGTACGCCGACGCCTCGTTCTCCTGAACGTCCTTGATTTTCTTCTGAGCATATTTACCCAAAAGGTACGCTCCTGAGACAAGATCAACACGCAGAACAGCAACGTAAGCAAGAAGCAGCAGGGAATCTACAGCCCAGAAGGAACATTTGAGGTTTACGTTGCCACTTAAAACAGAAAAATCTAAAAATGATCAGTGTGACAAAAAGTGAGGAGGTTTTAGTGTTCTGAAGCATACAGGCGTATTAACACAACACCAAGGCAGAAAGACGTCAGCAATAACTAAAGAAGGAGCTGTCGCTGCCCTTTAATTTGGGAAAGGTCAAAAGTCATTTCCAAACTAGTTGCATTCCATCATCATCTTTCAGCTGCTCCCTTCTTCAGGGGTCACCACAGTGAACTAACTCGCACAAAGACTTGGCGATTGTTTTTACACCCGACTCCTTTCCCGACACAAGCACAGACCACCGTGTGGAGCAGATGATGATTCCATCGATCTACAGAAGAAAAATCAGAACATGGAAAATACTTCACAAAACTCCCAGGAGTGGACACACCAACATAAGTCAGACCATGCAATGCTCAGAGAAGGACGCTCTAGATTAAACAGCAGGTCAAAGGTCAAAGGTCATGGCTAGCTTGAAAGCATCTTCGGTCTAAAGACAACGTGGCAACGTGCCTTATGTCTGGAAAGTTTCACCTGTAAGAACCACTAGATTTCTGAGACAAAACCAGTCCAAAGAACCTATGTTTACCCATAATGCACTGCAGCAAACACCTCAGATTACCAGCTGTTGCACAGTGGAGGGTGTTGGCTCCTTGCAGTCTCTGAGTGGACCATGAACTCTGGACCAAAGGATTCTGGAGTCAAATGTGAGTCCATTTGTCCAACAGCTGAAGTTTGGACCAAACAGGACAATGATCCCAAACACAGCAGTTAATCTACAACGGGATGGGTCGAAAAGAAAAGAACCCAGGGGCTGCAGTGGTCCAGAGTCCAGAACCCTAACCTGATGGAAACTGAGGTGGGACCTCCAGCGAGATGAGCATAACCACAGCCACGAAAAACCATTATAGAAGTTGTTTTTGCTGGAAAAGAAGCAACACGTGACGTCAACAGTTGCTCGAAATTTAAAGAACATAAAATCAAGCGTCTTCGTGCACACGATGATGCACAGTAATACCTAGTTCCTGTGAAAAATATCAGATAAACTAGTTCATTACAAAAACCTCTGCAGCCGAATGAAAGGGACTATCTTTACATTTCATAAACTATATTTAAACACAGTCTACGACGCACTCATTTTAATATTAACTCAAAAACAAACTTGTGCTCCGTTTTACTAGCGAAGTCTGGCGCGTGTGCTAGCACACTCACCTCCAACCAGAGCTCCGGTGAAAATAAACTTCTTTTTATGGCGTTTCATAAAATTCCAGACAGACGAAAGCATTTTCAGAGATCCAAACTTTAAAATCTACCTTGCGTTTTATTTGTTTAAAACTCACTTTTTAAGTCATTTTTAAATTAAGTGTATTTGGCTGCAGCCTTCGGTTGCTATGCTAAAAGTTCCCGATCAAGGCAACGACAAATACCGAACATCCGGTTTACGTTTCAAAATAAACTGCAGTCCGCCTCGCATGCGCGGAAACAAACGTTTATTTCAGTGATCGTCGGACCGGCACGGTTTTAAGATAGACCACGTATTTGCATTAAAAATTCTAGTTGTGCTAAATATAAATGAAAGTGTATGCATTTAAAATTAAACAAACTGCCGTTTGTGATCAAGTACACTTAAACATTTGTCACATTAAAAAAAAAATGTAATTGACTATTTTGACGTGTTTTTGTGAAGCTCTTGAGTTTTACATAATGTACGCAGTTTCGAAAACCTCTAAACCAACTAAACATTTGTGTGCTTTTATTGCACAGGCCCCATTTCCTATTTGGATTTAACAGTCGCGGCAGTGACGTCATCAGAACGCGTGTATCTTTTTTCTCTCTCTCTTTATTGAAAATTGTAAGACATACAAAACTTCTGGTTGTTAAATAATCATCAACATGAATAAAACAAACAAAATGCCAGGGGGCACATGAAACAGTCAGGGAGATGGATCATGAATCTTGAACTTGTTGAGAATCGTCTTTGTATATTTTATATTATATTTAGATTTCATACCTGGATTATTGAGCATGGACTTTGTTGTCTTTGTATATTCTTGTTAGGGATGTATTTGACATTTGAGTCATAATTAAAAAAGTTATTTTTTCATTCAACCTTTATTTAGACAGGAAAATCTCATTGAGCCTCGAGGACTCATTTACAAGAGACCTGACCATAACTTCATGACTTCTTGGAGGAAGTATCCCATGTTTGGTTTGGATTAGACCATTTGGCTTTATGAATGCGATACTTCCCGAGGAGCAGCAACGGTTGTATAAAATGGGCTCTTTGTCCATAAAAAAATGGTCTCTTTCATCAAAGGTGACTCTTTGCCTGGTTTTAAGTTCAGAGAGTCAGAGTCAGAGTTTCTTTATTGTCATTCGCACCTCATGTGGTACATGTGGTGGAGCGAAATTATGTACACGGGGTCCCAAGTTGTCCCAAGTTGTATAGTCTTGTAAGTCAGTTCAGAGTATCTTACATTGCACATTGAAAAATAAATACGGAAATGTTTCAACATTGGATTCACAGAAAAAGCAAGTCAATTACAAGTTTAATAGTTTAAATATATTTTTCGCTGGATACATGTGTACAATTTTGAAGGGAATCTCCTTTACCTTGTAGTTCAGAGTCCGATCAACCAAGCTAGAGTCCAATCATCTAAAAAAGTTAAATCTGGTCCTCTGGACATTCCAAAAAACAAAACAAAGCATAACAACAAAAAAATGTAGAAACGTTTCGTCTCTCATCCGAGAGACTTCCTCAGTCCAGAGAATGTCCAGAGGACCAGATTTAACTTTTTTAGATTTTTCTACCTGGATTATTGAGCATGCATCAGGATAGAGTCCAATCAGTTTCACTGTATAGATCAATAGGACCTGCCAGAGTGCAGAGCTAACTTTTGTAAATGTGACCTTGTATATTTTTTTAAACTTATTTAGCCTTTATTTATACAGGTAGTCTCATTCAGTCACGATAACTAATTTTCAAGAGACCTGTTTGGGAGCAGATGATGGAGGTTAAGGGCCTTGCTCATGGGCTCAGAGTGGAGGCAGGTGTGGGTGTTTCACCTTTACCACCCACATTTTGATGTTGTCGGTCCAGGGAGTTGAACCTGCGACTTTCTGATCACAGGCCCATCTTCTCTAACCTCTGTGCCACCACAACCAAATGAGTTTATTGGAGCATTTCTTTTTGGTGATGTCAACATGTCCGATCAATAACCCGCTTTTATGTAGATCAGTGTTCGTAGCTGCACCTCGGTAGAGTTGCAGTATTCCGTTAGGTAGAGCAGAAAAAATGATTGTGTATTCAAGGTTCTCTATTTTTCATTTGCACCACATGTGGTACATGTTACATCCAACAAAAGTATAAAATGTAAAAGTAAAACAGTAATAAGATCTAAGACAATAATATGTGATGTCATGTGATGGTGGGGAGACTGACTCCAACATCTTCTGTGCAGCCTTCACCACTCTCTGCAAAGCTTTTCTTTCTGCAGCTGTGCAGCCTCCATGCCACATGTTGATGCTGGAGCACAGGATGCTCTCCACTGCACACCTGTAGAAGGAGGTGAGGACTGAGCTTCCAGACCAGCTCGTCTCAGCCGCCTGAGGAAGTAGAGTCTCTGATGAGCTTTCTTCAACGGGCTGGTGTTGTCAATAATCAATAAGAAACTGTCCAGATGACCTGACTGAAAATTGTTACGTGTGTACCTATGTCTATTTTATGACTGTATTGTGGTCGTTGTTGTCCATTGTTGTCATCACTCTGTTAAAATCAGGTCTCTCTTGTAAATGAGTCCCGGAGGCTCAATGGGATTAACCTGTTTAAATAAAGGTTGAATGAATTCGCAGACTCTCCCGCGAATGATTCATAGATGTAAACACGTGTTTATATAACACGTGTTTACATCTATGATCTGATCAGTCTCTATCGCTGGTTTCCGGTTTCAGCCGGAGATGGTCCGTCTATTATTATCTTCCCCCGGTCAGGAAGTACACACGATAAACGAATGGAAGGATTTTTCTTCTAACCACAAAATGCTCGATATTTATTTTAAACTTTAAACCAAAATGTCATTTTAATGAAAGGTAAAATAACATAACAACTGCTATGGGAACAGAGGAGGGCCATAAAGTAGATTTGTTGGAGAGTTTTTGTCCGAATGAAGATGAAATTGAGAAGTGGATGTGCAGCGCCTTCGAAATGGTGAGTTTTCTCTCTTGGGTTATTATTATACACATTATATACAATTATATACACATTATAATATACAATTATATACACATTGTATACAGTATCATTTATGAACTGCCTTAGGTTTATTGTAACAGAAGAAAATCCACATTTTAATTACATAAAATTGTATCCGTAGTTTTTCATTCCTTCAGAACCCTAAGTACATATTGCGAGTGAACACAATATTTTATTAGAAAGTTTGTTTATAAGTAATATTAAGTATGCTTTATATCTAAATGTAATATTAACTGTAATGAAAATATACTTTGTGGTCAATAACTCGGGGCTATATGAACTATTTTGTTGGAAATTCCTCACATCTTTTTTTTTTTTTAAAGATTTCTCATGTTTCTGCTTCTCGACCCTCATGTAAAATATTTCTTCTTGTCGACCCTCATGTAAAATATTTCTTCTTGTCGACCCTCATGTAAAATATTTCTGCCTGTCGACCCTCATGTAAAATATTTCTGCCTGTCCACCCTCATGTAAAATGTTTCTGCTTCTCGACCCTCATGTAAAATGTTTCTGCTTGTCCACCCTCATGTAAAATGTTTCTGCTTGTCCACCCTCATGTAAAATGTTTCTGCAGGCCAGCGATGCTCTGAACAACGGAGAGGTGCCTGTCGGATGTCTGATGGTCTACGAAGACAAGGTGGTGGGGAGAGGAAGGAATGAAGTCAACGAGACTAAAAATGTAAGAAAAATGAAGAAAATCTCATTTTAATCAGTTTGTGTTTGAGGAAACCACCTGACAAATACAGATTTCTGTTTCTGCGGAGGAAATTAATCCTCCTGGTCCTCACATTAGATCATCTCGTCTATTCTTGGAACATTTAGCTCCAGTTTGTTGGGCAGACCTGCCAATTATCACTACTTGCCGTATGTTAGTCATTCTTTAACGGATCATATTTGGTCCTTGTTCTGGGCCCAACTCCAGTGTACAATAATAAAAAGCTCTTTTACTTTTTAGGCTTGAAGGAGCTTTTAATTTGGGACTCTGGCGATCATCATCTAGAACACACAGTGTGACGTTTGTGTGTGTGTGGTGTTTTTAGGCAACTCGTCACGCGGAGATGGTCGCCCTGGACCAGGTACTGGACTGGTGTCGTCATAGCAACCTGGACGTGGGGCGCGTGTGTGAGCGGACGGCTCTGTACGTCACTGTGGAGCCGTGCATCATGTGTGCTGCAGCCCTGCGCCTCCTCAGTATCCTCCCCTCACCTCCCTGTCAGTGTGTGTGTGACGTTGTTGTTGGACCTTCACCAGCTCTCAGAGATCCCCGTGGTCGTGTACGGCTGCGGAAATGAGCGTTTCGGGGGCTGCGGATCAGTTCTGGACATCTCCTCTGCAGACCTTCCTCACACGGGGACAAAGTTCAAGGTGCGTGCTCCTGGTTGTGTGTTTGTTTTTACTTTATCATCTCTGTGCTCAAATGTGTGTGTGTGTGTTTTCAGTGTGTTTCAGGTCACAGAGCTGAAGAAGCTGTTGAGATGCTGAAAACTTTCTACAAACAAGAGAATCCTAATGGTAAACAGGGTTTTCTTCATCTTGTTTCCTGTTTTTAATCTTAATGTTTTCCTTCGTCTGCTCCTCACGATGGAAACCATCAAGAGTTATTGTCAAAGTTTGAAACAAGCACGTCCTTCAGTTTGTCAGCCCTCAGAGTTTGCATTGTGAATGACTCTCAGCTCCCACCGCACCAACTTTTAGCTCCACATCTGTAAAAATGGCTGAGTTATAAACTGTTTAGTTTCCTAAAGTCCCTTGTTTGTGGCGGCCATCTTGAATAAGTTTAAGGCAGACACAGCTTTCCACTGTGTGTTAGCAAAATATTTCACATGAACCGCAGGACAACTTTAAACAAAACTCTCATAAAGCACTCACCGATTCATATCTTATTGTGTAACGTTTTAAATGTTCACAACAATCAGTCAAATGTAATAAATTATTGTTCATTTCCATTTTCAGCTCCAAAACCCAAAACAAGGAAGGACTGACCCCAAACAAAGAAATTATTTTATATTAATTTGTTTTTGTTCAGTTTTCTAATAAAACCACTTTTTATTTATGAATTACGCATTGATGTTTTATTTTACTTCACGCAGTTCAACAACTTCCCGTCATAATTTATAAAATCTAAATATTTAAAACAACATTTTGAAACTCGTCTGTTTCTGAGCACAACTCGGCCGCAGTTAAATCTGAATCTGACGAGTTTTAAAAAGTTTAAAAGTTTTTGGGGGTTTTATTGCTCGTTTTGTTGGTTTGTGGCGTTCTTAACTTTGTTGTTGTGCGTTTGTTGAGAATCTGATCTAAAAGAAAACGTCTTCTGCGTTTTCACCGAACAAAACAAACGACTGAAAACACACACGCGTTTGTTTTTACGTCTCTGACCTGGGTCACCTCCTCAGGAGGAGCTGGAGAGGAGGAGGTCTGGGTCTCCCTCCTGGACCAGCTGTACCGTGACCTGACCGGGCCGGGTCATCCCGACAGAACTTACCGCAGCTCAGCTGACGAGGATCAAAGCTGCTGGATGTTTGCGTCTGTCGACACATCTGGATGTTTTTATTGGACAAATCGTTTTGTTCAATCGTTCATTTCTCACTCGGACGCTCCGACTGAACCGAGACGAAAAGAATCAAAACCACTACACGTCGGGACTGAGGGGACTTTATTTTGTCCTTCCAACAGCGTCGGGGTTCCTTCAACACATCTCTGACATTCAGATGTTCTGTAGGAGCTCAGGAGGCGTTTGTGTGTTTCCCCGTCTGAACGGTGCGTTTAAGTGTCTGTGTCCTATGATCGGTTAACGTTGCGGTTCTTCGGCTGACGGAACAAAGCTGCTTTTTACCATTGAAATAAATAAAACACAGGCGTCATGTCTCCGTCTGTTCTGGTCCGGCTCGTCCTCTGAAGCTCGTCCAGACGTCACTCCCCTTTAACCTTTTCTGAGAGGAAGACACAGAAAGACAGGAAGAGTGAAGATCAACCAGCTGCAGAACCAAAAGGTCCAAACACAAAAACCCTCTGAGCCCGGAGTTCTGCTCTGCAGCCGGACCGACTCGCGTTTCTTCAGTTTGAGCCCAAATCGATTTGAACTCCGTTAAATCTCCTGCTCCAAACTAAGATCCAAGAAGACAAATCTTTTGTCCAACACGTGGACGGCCCGTCTCTGTCTCAGCTTGCCTCCCTCTCTGTCCACTTCTCTAGGCTCTCTTCCACCTGCTCCCTACTCTCACTGAACATGTTTCGTCTCATCCGTCCGGACCTTCAGGGTTGTCCAGCTGTGCGTCCGTCGGACGGCGCCGACCCGTCTCGGGCTCTACCTGTGTGCAGGTGGTCCCAGATGTAGCCGTTGAGGATTTCTCCGAAGACGTAGAGGACGCAGATGACCAGCGTCATGGCGCCGAAGAAGAGGACTCGAGCGAGCGGCGCGACGCGCTCCAGCACCGGGTACACCCACACCCCCGTCACCTGGTGCACCCAGCACGTCCTGAGGGGGAGACGAAAAGAAGCGTTTGTTTCGCGTAAAACATTTTAAAATGTTAAAACGTGAAGTTTCCAACAAACGGAGAAAACATTTCTGCAGCGCGCGGTTAAATCTAAACGACTACACGCTGCTTCACCCGAAACAAACACGGGGCCAACGCTCAGCTGAAGGGCCGAGATCAGCCGAAGAGGCTGAAACTGAGCAGCTAAACTTCAAACAAAACGGCATCAAAAAGCTAAATCACAACTACAAAATTAATCCTTTAAATTCAGCAACATTGAAGCTAAAAGCTAATATAAGCAACTCTGGTTACAAGCTAAAATTAGCAAAAGTGTAGCTAAAAAGTCAAACAGGTATGTAGCTAAAAGCTAAATGATATTAAATGATAGATAAAAATGGTAAAACAGCAGCTAAAAATTCACAGAACAGTAGCTAAAGGCTAAAAACACGAGCCAGTTCACCAAAACAGATTAAAAATATATTTATTTATTTTAGGATTGGGGGGGGGGGGGGGGGACTTTAAAAGTTAGACATTTTGAATAATATAAAAAGCCAAACGTAAAAGCAAACTTTCCCCACTCGACTGAATGTTTTAATATTTGAAGGTTCAGATTTAGAACTCAAACAGCCCAGAAAACAGACGTAACCTAAATGCATCATGCTGCGTTTGAGCGTGTTGGAAAAAGGAAACTCGTTACCAGAGAACGTAGCCCACACCGAAGCAGCACACGGCCGCCAGACCCCAAGGCCTTCTGGGATATTTGTGGTGGGTTGTCCTCATCTCGATGATGATGAAGGGAAGAACGGTGGTGTGCTGCACAACAAACAAACAAACAAACAACAGAAACCTTTGGATGAATTATTTTCTGGCAGAAAGCAGCTGGAATCAGAAACAAACTTTAAAACATCTTCAATAAAATATTAAACTCTGCAGGTTCGGCTGCGTTTAACGACGAACGAGCTCTGAGGCTCCCAAAGTTTTTATTTACAATCTGTTTTTAACGAGCAGCAGATAAAACAGATAACTCTTATTATCGAGGCACTCCTAAATACGTGCACTGTTCTGAGAGCTTTCATGTTTTTTAAGTTTCAGTTTTTAATAACTGAACAATAAATGAATCTTCTGGATTTCAACTTTTAAAGAAGAACTTGTTTGAACCTGGACACGGTCCAGGTGGAACTCCGGTGGCGACAGCTCCTCCTCTGATCCTGAGTTTAATTTTCAGCTTCAGATACACGAACTTTGTTTTGTTCCGGTTTCCATAAAACTCACCGTCTTTCGGTCTTTGACTGTAAAAGCTGCTGAAGTTTGATGCAAACAGATTTTAAATGTAAAATAAAATCAGCTTTAAACGTCCGTACGTTTCAAAATGTGTCATTTCTATCAAAACTGTTTCTGTAAATATTTAGGAAATCTGGCCTCAGCTGTTTCATCAAACATCTAAATGTATAAAAATAAGACATTTAACTATTTTCAATAATCAATCCATGTTGTAGTGTGTGTGTGTGTGTGTGTGTGGTCTCAGCTAATGGAGGTCACGCCGTGTGATGCTGGTTTATAAAAATGGTTCATTCTTCAGGCGGCACGGTGAATCAGTTGGTAGAGCTGCCGCCTCTCAGCGAGCAGGTCGCAAGATCAAGTCCTGGTTCTGGGACCTTTCTGGGTGGAGTCTGCATGTTCTCTCTGTGCATGCATGGGGTTCCCCCGGGTACTCCGGTTTCCTCCAACACACCAAAAACATGCATGTTAGACTGACTGGTAACTCTAAATTGTCCCTAGGTGAGAGAGAGAGTGAATGCTTTTTGTGTCTCAGGTGTCTCTGTGATGGACTGGAGACCTGTCCAGGTGTCTCTGTGA